AAAAATACAAAAATTAGCCAGGCATGGTGGTGTGTGCCTATAATCCCAGCTACCCGGGAGGCTGAGGCAGGAGAATTGCTGGATCCTGAGAGGCTGTGGAGGCTGCAGTGAGCTGAGATTGCGCCAGTGCACTCCCTGGGGAACAGAGCGAGACCTCCGTCTCAAAACAAAATAAAATAAAACAAAAACAACTTTGCCAGTCTTTAACAAAGCTTTGTGTGTTTTTTTTTTTTTTTTGGAGACAGGGTCTTGCTCTGTCAGCCTGAACTGCAGTGGCACAATCATAGGTCACTGCAGCCTTGAACTCCTGGGCCCAAGCAATCCTCCTGCCTCAGCCTCCTGAGTAGCTATCTCGTAATCAGGGTGCGGTACTACAGGGGCATGACACTATGTCAGGCTAATTTGTTTTATTTTTAGTAGAGATGAGATCTTGCTGTGTTGCCCAGGCTGGTCTTCAAGTCTTGAACTGAAGTGATCCTTCTGCCTTGGCCTCCCCAAATTTTGGGATTATAGATGTGAGCCACTGCGCCTGGCTCCTTATATCTTTTGACTCTGTTATTCCATTTCTGACAATCCTAAATATTAATAAATATGGAAAAAAGGGCCGGGCACAGTGGGTCACGCCTGTACCCCCAGCACTTTGGGAGGCCGAGGCAGGCGGATTGAGGTCAGGAGATCGAGACCATCCTGGCTAACACAATGAAACCCTGTCTCTACTAAACATACAAAAAATTAGTCGGGCGTGGTGGCGGGCCCTGTAGTCCCAGCTACTCTGGAGGCTGAGGCAGGAGAATGGTGTGAACCCAGGAGGCGGAGCTTGCAGTGAGCCGAGATCGTGCCACTGCACTCCAGCCTGGGCAATAGAGCGAGACTCTATCTAAAAAATAAATAAATAAATATGGAAAAAAGCTCTACATAAAAAATTGTATTATAAAACATTAGAAATGAATAAATTTTTATCTGACAGGAATTATTAAATATTTAATATACTTAGTCCAGTGTTCAGATACACAGTATTTAATAAATGTTTATTAAGTTTGGTTTTCTAAGGTAGACAAAGTTGACTGATACTAGGTTAGAACACCAGTTTTAGTTGAAATCAAAAGACCTTCTCTGTGTTAAACTCTTCTCTTGATTTGTTCAAAATGCTGTGTTACTATTGTAAAATATTTTTCTGATCTATAGGGCTTTCAGTGCTAGGGTGCTTCTAAAGCTGTCAGTTGTGGATAAGTAGAATCTAAAAATGGTCAGTTTAATATTGCCGTGTAGATTCAAAATCAAGCCTAAAGATGTAAAAATAGAGGTTTTTTGTTTTTTGTTTTTTTTGGTATGTAGTATATGTATATGGCACAAAATACAAAAGATACACAAAGACATACACTGGAAAGGTTAAATCCTTTTTCCATCCTTCCACCTCAGCCATCCAGTTACTTCTAGAAGTTATTACCTTCTAGAAGTATTCCGTGCATATGCAAGTATATGAAATTATAAGTATTCATTCCTATACAAATGGAAGCATACTTTATACATTCTGTAATTTGCTTTTTTCACTTTTTTGAAACACTTTCCATACTAGTATATAGTCCCATTTCATTCTTTTTTTTTTAAAGATGGGGTCTCACTCTGTTGCCCAGCCTGGAGTGCAGTGGTGTGATCATAGCTCATTGCAGTCTCAAACTCCTGGGCTTAAGCAATCTTCCCGCTTCAGCCTTCCAAGTAGCTGAGGCCATAGGCATGTGCCACTGTGCCTGGCTACGTTTTAAAATTTATTTTTAGTTTTTTTTTTTTTTTTTGTCTTGCTATGTTGCCCAGGCTGGTCTTGAACTCCTGACCTCAAGTGATCCTCCTGCCTCAACCTTCCAAAGTGCTGGGATTACAGGCATGAGCCACTGTGCCCAGCCACTTCATTCTTTTTAATGGGTGCGTATGTATATCCTAGTTTAACAAGTTTCACATTGATGGACATTGTGGTTGTTTCTAGTTGTTAGCTACTACTGAGTGCTGCAGTAAATATTGGATATGCTGTTTTCTTTCTTTATTTTTTTTTTGAGACAGAGTCTTGCTCTTGTCACCTAGGCTGGAGTGCAACAGCAGGATTTCAGCTCACCGCAACCTCTGCCTCCCAGGTTCCAGCGATTCTCCTGCCTCAGCCTCTCGTGTAGCTGGGATTACAGGCACCTGCCACCACGCCTGGCTATTTTTGTATTTTTAGTAGAGATGGGGTTTTGCCGTATTGGCCAGGCTGATCTCAAACTCCTGATCTTGTGATTTGCCCACCTCAGCATCCCAAAGTGCTGGGATTACAGGCAGAAGCCACCGTGCCTGGCCTTCCTTCTTATTTCTTGAAGTCTTAGCTTCATAAGGATTGGCTGTTAATAAAGGTTTCCTCCTTGCTTCCTACTATGAATAATGCTTATGGAGTGTCAAACGAAAATCACTAGTGGATATAATGGAAATTGTTGATAGTAACATGAGAATTGTACAGTATTGTCAAATAAGCTTCTCCTAAAATACAAAGTATTTGCATTATATGAATTTTCCTTAATTTAGGGGAGGTGAATAAATGAATAGTTTCAACTTCTTTCAAGAGTGTACTTGAGTAAGGTATCTAGAATAAAGTGGACATGGGGAATAATTGTGCCATATATTGAGAGCATCCTAGAGATATAATATCTGCTAACCTTTCAGTTCAGTTGCATTGTGGTCTTTATTCAGTTTGACCAGCAAGAAAATTTCAGTAGAGCATTTTAATAGGGAGAAAGCTGAATTTTAAATTAGATGACTAGTTTGGAATGAGACCTAGAATTGTTGCTAGGAGTAGAGGATAATAATAATAACAAATATTTATAAAGAACAGCTTATGAAGCATTTTAACATACCTTAATCATTCTCACAGCAAGCCTATGAGTTAGATATTACTCCTGTTTGCATTTCACAGATAACACTGAGGCTAGAAAAGGTTAAAGTACTGGATGCCCATGGTCACACAGCTGATGAGTGACAGGGCCAGGACTCAAATCTGACTTTCTAATTTGAAGGGCCTGAAATACTAAGCTTTCTTTGTTTAATTGTATCCAATCTCTCCGCCCCTTCTTTTCCATAGAAACAAAATCAGCAATAAATAACTACAAGAACCATCATCATATAAGCACTTAGGGCAGTTTCCTTTTCTTGAAACTTACAACAAAAAGTTTACATTTCATCAATGATCACTGAGTTTTGGTACTCTCAGAACAGTACCATGTAATCAGAGCTCCAGCCTTCTTTTTTCTGTTACCTCTAAAGTAGTGGCTTTGGGCCGGCTGCAGTGGCTCATGCCTGTAATCCCAGCCCTTTGGGAGGCTGAGGCGGGTGGATCACCTGAGGTCAGGAGTTCAAGACCACCCTGGCCAACATAGTGAAACTCCGTCTCTACTAAAAATACAAAAATTAGCTGGGGATGGTGGCGGTCACCTGTAATCCCAGCTACTCTGGAGGCTGAGGCAAGAGAATCGCTTGAACTCAGCAAGTGGAGGTTGCAGTGAGCCGAGATCGAGCCATTGCACTCCAGCCTGGGTGACAGGGCGAGACTCTGTCTCAAAAAAAAAAAAAAAAAGAAAAGAGAGGTTTTGGCTACATGGTATGTCCATTTTTTGGTTGCATATGATGTTTTGTGCAAGTTGGTGGAGAGGGTAAAATTTGAGTAAACAAATATACAGTGGAGATTTTAACCTAATTAGAAAAAGGTATGAAAGTCAGAAGTGTTCCAGTAATTGACTAGGCTTTAGGACAGGGATATTGCACAAAATCCTTGGGCCCTAAAGTTGGAGAAGATGGAAGGAAGAGAGGAAACAGAATAGTGCTTTAAAAAGTAAACTTGAATATTAGACAGCCAGTCATCTACTCTGGAATCTATCAGGGGCTTGTTTAGTATGAAACTCAGATATAATTTTTTTTCTTTTCTTTTTTGAGACAGGGTCTTGCTGCGTACGTTGCCCAGGTTGGAATGCAGTGGCGTGATCATGGCTCACTGTAGCCTTGACGTCCTAGGCTCAAGTGATCCTTCTGCCTCCGCCTACCAAGTAGCTAGGACCACAGGCGAAGCCGCCACACCCGGATAATTAAAAAATAAAAATTTATAGAAACAGGGTTTTCTATGTTCTCCAGGCTGGTCTCGAACTCCTGGCCTCAAGCAATCCTACTGCCTAAGACCCCCAAAGTGCTGGGATTATAGGCAGGAGGTACCATGTCCATGCAGTTACAAACATAGTGTTTGCCCCAAAACTTTCATTGGATGTATGCAACTTTCTCTTCCTCTATTCCTACTTTTGCAATGGTGTACTCTGTAACAGTAACATTTCCTCAGAGGTCCAAGATAGCCTCCTTTGCTGTGATTCTTACACAATTGTAAAAAAATTATTTGCTCTTGACATTTATGTGTAATACTGGGATTTATAAGATGACAAGGGTGAAAATAATATTTGTTGTATGCTTACCCTGTCAGGCTATTCACATTCAGCAGCTCTTATAATCCTAGGTACACTCTTTGAGTGTCCCCATTTTACAGTTGAGGGTAACTGAGGCTAGTTACATCAAGCACTTTAGTTAGCGAGATAAGACATGCACCTACATAAATATAACATGAAACAAGATAAATGGTGACACCAGTGTCAAAGCCACCGTTAGGTGGTAAGGGTGACCCTGTAAAGCAAAAACTAGCAGTTGCAGGACCACAGGCACACTTTACCACGTGCCTGCTTCTATAGATGAACTCGGCGTGGCCACCCTAGGAATGAGACCTTGGGGGTGCGAATCCATGAAAGATGCCTGTGTATGTTGGATACCCGCGGGACTGTCCTCGTGGAATGCCGCATCCACGAGCCCTAGGTGCTCTCCATTTGAGGAAGTTGGCTGGGGGAGGGGGCTTGCCTTGCGGCTGCGTCCTGCTCCCTGCGCCCTGCCCCCACCTCCCAGCCTCTGCTGCCGCTAAACCCCGGAGAGCGGAGCGTGCACGTTGAGATTCCTCGGCGGGCTAGGCAGCGGTGCTGGGCATGCTCAGTGGGCAGGACCCGTTAGAGTGGCGAGTAAGGAAGCGTTGGCTCTTCTCGGGTCTGCCTTCCCCGGTTCAGGCCCCGGCCCTGGGCTTTTGTGTGCGCGTAGCTGCAGCCGCCGCTGCCTCCTCGCGGGGCTGCCCGACCCCAGATGCCGTCAGGCCTGTCCAGTTTCCGCCGTTAACCTCGCCGCGCGGCCGGGAGGAGGAGCGGGGCGGGGCCGGCGGCGGGCGGCCGGGCTGGAGGGCCCTGCCGGGGGTGTGGGTGGGTGCGGGGAGCCCCGCGGGGGGTGGGGGGCGGGGGCGGGCGCGGAGTCACGGGGGTGGGGTCACCCGCGGTGGCTCGAGGAGGCCAGCTGGGAGGGGAGGGGGCCGTGGGGGCGGCTCGGCGGAACCAGCCCCGGCTGGGCAGCAGCGGGGACGCCAGGGGCCGGGGCCAGGGCTTTCCGGGCTTCGGTGAGGCCGCCGTGGGCCCCATCTTCCGGCGGTGGCCGGAGTTTGTGGTGATTGTTGCTGCCGCCGCCACCGCCCCGGCTGCCATCTCCTCCTCTTGGGCCGCCGCCTCCTCCTCTTCCTCCTCCTCCTGGGCCGGGCTGATCCCCTCCCCGCTGCCGCCTCCTCCTGGGCTGGGCCCGCGGTGTCTCGTCCCCTCGCGGAGCCGCTCCTGCCGCCGCCGCCGCCTCCTCATTCATCCTCGTGCACCATAGGCGGCACAGGCACCAAGATGTCCAACCGAGTGGTCTGCCGGGAAGCCAGTCACGCCGGGAGCTGGTACACAGCCTCAGGTAGGGCCCCAGGCCGCCGGCCCGCCCGCTGCCGCCGCCGCCTGGCCCCACGCCCGGCCGGCCGAGGTCGGCGGCCCGGCCCCGCGGCGGCGGCGGGCGGAGACGAGGGCGCGGACGGGCGCCGGGCGCGGACCGCGTGGGGAGGGAGCGAGCCGAGGCCGGCCTCGCCGCCTCCCCCATCCCGGGCGGCGGGCATCCCGCGCCGGCAGCCCGGGGCCGACCAGCCTCACACTCGCCGGAGTTGGGCGAGAGGGAGAGTTGCAGCCTCGACAGCCTGAGCCCTCCCTCGGGACAAGGCTCGAGGAAGGAACGTGTTCCCAGACCCAAGCCGACTTGTCGCCGCCTCTGGCTCGCAGGAAGCGGGCGGCCGGCCGCTGCCACCCCCGGGAAGGACGGTGTGCCCGTCGCCGAGCCCCGCTTGTCCACGCCACAGGGCAGCGACCCTCCGCCCTCCTGCCGAGTCAGGGACCCTTTCCTTTCCTCTCCCGTTTTCCCTGCCCTCCCCGCTGGCCGTCTGGGGAGTGCCCTCGCCCAGAGGGAGTTCTCTGTCTGCCCCCGAGCCTCCGCGCCCGCAGCCGGAGAGGAAGTCTTCTCGCCCGGTGCCTCTGGCGCTGGAGAAGCAGGCAGCGTTTCCCTGCACCTTTAAGCGGCTCCGCTGTCTTGCAAGGAGTGAAGGGTAGCACTTTTTCATGTTACCAGACTACAGGCGAGGTCTCTGCATGGGGAGATCTGTCAGAGGAGGGCCTTTCAGGGATTTGTCGCTTTGTATGTTGGGGCTAGGTGGAAGTACTGCTAAGCAGGGGCTTGGGGGTGGGGGGGCTCACAGCTCTTTTGTCAGTGTTTGCATTGTTACTGTCATTCACGAAAGGGGCAGCTGGAGATGGCATCAGCACTTTCCCCGACCAGTGGCCCCAGTCACTGGTCGCTCAACACCAGGCAGGTGCTGAAACTACCTAACTAATTAAGTTTAAGCTTTGAGCGAGTTGAGTTTTCTGTCTCCACTGTTTAAAAGCATTTTCGAAGTTCTTTATGTAAAAGTGTAGGGACTTTCCCTTTAATAAAGCGCTTGTCAGAATGCCTGTTTTCTGGGATTATTTTCAGGAGTCACATTTCTGGTATGTTAACAAAGAAAGTTCTACTGTGATTCCTCATAGTCTTCAGTCATTTGGTATTGGCTTATCAATAACTAGACCTAACTTCTCGAGGTGAATCGGATCATGTTTCCCTTTGCAAAAAATTGACTTGGAGAGTGACATGGCCTGTGAGAAAGCAAAGATTTGGAAGAAAATTCATTTCTCTGAGGTTGCTAAACTAGCTCATTAAAGACATGTACCTTACTGAAATACATGACTCACTGAAGATTTTCTGTGTTAGGGAGACACAAAAGAATTGTGAGGATTGGATTTGCAGCTATAGCTAACAGGTAGTTATAGTTTTGCATTAAGCAAATATGACATTTTATAGTTACAGTGGCTTCCCTTCATTGTCCTAAAGTACTTCATAAACATTTAATCAGTTCTGAAAGCCTGAGAATGCCAGTTAAATTATTCTTGTTCAGCGTATGGGGAAACATGTAGATATGTCACCCAGGCTGGAGTTCAGTGGCTCGATCTTGATCCGCTGCAACCTCCGCCTCCTGGGTTCAAGCGATTCTCCTGCCTCAGCCTCCCAAGTAGCTAAGATTACAGGCGCCCGCCACCACGCCCAGCTAATTTTTTGTATTTTCAGTAGAGACAGAGTTTCACCATGTTGGCCAGGCTAGTCTCTTAACTCCTGACTTCGTGATCCGCCCGCCTGGGCCTCCCAAAGTGCTGGGATTACCGGCATGAACCACTGTGCCAGGCCAGTTGTTCAGTGTTTTAAACTTTTGTAGTAGTTTGCAATTGAATGTGGGCAAGTGATCCTGGAGGAATTTCTATAGATTCTTGAACATTCTTTGGATAGTCTTATAGGGCATAGCTTACACTTTGGATTTGGAAAGACTTCTTTGGTATTCTAAGATGAATTCGTTAATCCAGCTCAAAACATTCTGTGATTATTGTTATTTATCAACAATGAACTAAAGAGGACTATTTTCTTAAAAATTCTAAGTATATTGTTTTCCTAAATTCTGAGTGAAATCAATAATGCCATTTAATGTGCATTGTCACAGAGAACCTTCAAATTAAGACTACATATGTGACAATTTTTGGGGGAGTCAGTGTGTGACTTTTTAAACTTGAGTAATAATTGAGGGTATATTTAAAGCAATTCAATTATAAAAGCTTATTTTGTATTTTAAAAATAGATGAAATACAACTACAGATAAGTAAACTTCGACTGGGTTTAGTAATGCCTGTCTTTAATATTTGCCAGTGTACCTACATTGATAACATTGACCGTTGGAAAAGTTGGACTTGTATTGTGTTATTTCTCTAGTATATTAGTCCTAAAAAAGTGTGAGTAATAGGAGATGGAGAGATGTTTGTGGATTGTCATTCTGTGGTTCCTACAGCATTCAAGTTATGTCCATAGAATTAATGGGTTTAATTACTGACATAAATAAAGGTGAAAACACATTTGCTTTAGTTATATAGCTATTTCAGAAAAAAATTTGTGTACATATATAAATATTACATATATACACACGCATATCTTCTTTTTGTTTACCCCTTGTTATATGCTAGATCGTTGATAGAGAGTAACATAAATTATTTCCTGCCATCAAGGAATTTTCAGTTTATTTGAAGTAAGTAATAACTTTTAGGGCAGCAAATAAATATCAAGTAAGTTGAGATATGCTTTTAGGACTTCTGAGGAGGGTAGAATCATTTTGGGGTAGGATTTGAATTATGCTTTGAAGGAAGGGTATTTGAACAGGTTTGGAGCAGAAGGAAAGAACATTGGATTGGGAAACCCCAAACAGATACAGAGGCAGGTAAATGTAAATAGTTCAATTTAATAAGAATGGAAGGTACACAGGGGCATAATTCATGAGCCTGGAGTAGTAGGCTTGTCCTACTGTACAGATGCCTGTGAATGCCAGGCATCATTGGGACTGGACTTACTTAGTTGAGAGTGAGGACCAATGTGATGTTAATAGCATTTTAGGAAAATTAATCTCATAGGACGATTCATTCTCACTTCTTTTCTTTTCTTTTTTTTTGAGATGAAATCTTGCTCTGTTGCCCAGGGTAGAGTGCAATGGCACTATCTTGGCTCACTGCACCCTCGACCTCCCAGGTTCAAGAGATCCCTCTGCCTCAGCCTCCTGAGTAGCTGGGACTGCAGGCTCCTGCCACCACGCCTGGCTAATTTTTGTATTTTTAGTAGAGATGGAGTTTCATCATATTAATCTGGTCTCAAACTCCTCACCTCCTGATCCATCCTCCCAAAGTGCTGGGATTACAGGTGTGAGCCACCACGCCCAGGCCATTCTCACTTCTTTATGTGTATGCAGCAGGGATCAGCAAACTAACGGTGGCCCATACCCCAAATCTAGCTGCAGCCTTTTTTTTTCTTTCTTTCTTTTTGGGGGGTAAGGTCCAGTAGCTAAGAATGATTGTTAATATTTAATGGGTTGTTTAAAAAACAAACAAAAACATGAAATGCTGTAGAGACTGTATGTGACACACAAAGTCTGAAATATTTACTGTTTGGCTCTTCATAGAAAAATTTTGCCAAATCCTAGCTAGTGTAGGTTAGTGGTTGTCAAAGTTTGATCTCTGGACCAGCAGCATAATCTAAATGTAGTCTTATTTTCTCCAGATTTGCTACTGCTTTCATTCCATTATTTTAGGCCTTTATCTTCTGTCAGGATAATTACAACTGTCTCCTAATTGTACTTCTTTCTGCCAGTCTTATCCCCTTAAATCCATCTTCTGTACTGCTACTTGAATAGTATGTTGGCGAAATCATTCCTTTGATCATTTCCTCGCTGATCTGTCTTGCCTGTTGGATTAAGGTCTAAGTCCCCTCATAACTTGCCATCTTCCTATCTCTATTACTGCTTTCCCCTACCCCAACCCAGTTGTGATTTTACCGCCGTTAAATGACATCCAATAGTTGTTCATTGTTTCTTTAAATACGTCATGCTGTTTCTTATCACTGTGCTGTTCCACAAATTGGTCCCTCTGTTGAAATGTTCTTTGTTGGGATAATTCCTACTCCTCTCTTAAAGACTCAAGTATTAACACCTCCAAGAAACTTACTCTGGTGCTTTGCCTCCCCGACGACGTAGTTTTTGATGTTACCTGTATATGAGGTAAGCCAGGTACCATGTCTTACTCATTTTTTGTACCCTAAGTATTCAGCATAGGCTTTGTACATAGTAGATGCTCAGTAAGTATTTAACTGAATGTTAAAGTGCTTGGCATATAGTAGGCATATAATTAGCAAGTGGTAGGTATTGGTAGCATATATGGACAGGTACAAATGTTTAAATCCTAAAGAGTGGTGGGGCTGATGTGAGACTGCTACCATTCAAGTCTCTGATTATGGTATAGATGAAGCATCTTGGTGGTAGGAAAGGATTACAAATCCTGTTGTGCCAGTTAGGGATCCAGTGAATGTAAGATTTTTAAAGTATGACATACTTTAAACAAGTTCAGCTAGATGAATAAGTACATTCACAGAATGAGTATTCAATTCAAGAGAAACATCAGTACTGGAGTTCCCACCAAATGCTCCCTCCCCATTCCATGTTCCTTGTATTCTAAGACCGTAGAAAAATTTTGTCTGTTTTGCAATTCTGTGTCAGTAAAATTATATAGTATGTATTCTTTGAGCTTCTTTTTTTTTTTTTTTTTTGGAAACAGAGTCTGTCTCTCGCCCAGGCTAGAGTGTGATGGCTCAATCATAGCTCACTGCAGCCTCAACTTCCTGGGCTCAAGCAGTCTTCCTCCTTCAGCCTCCTTAAGTGTTGGGATTATAGGTGTGAGCCACTGCACCTGGCTCCTTTGAACTTTTGCTCAACATTACATTTGTAAGATTAATATGTGTTGTACTTTGTTCATTCTGTT